CTTACCATCAAGAATAATCCCATTGTTGCTACTGCTTCTACCTCCACCGAACTTGCACTCCATATACTCAGTCTTGCTTTAGCTCAGTTTGAAACCCTTGCTCTCCAATGTTTGTCGTCATACTTCCAACTTTGCTTTAACACCGGATTGTGTCTCATCAATCAATACAATATCATCGGCAAACATCATGCACCACGGTATATCTTCTTGAATTGACTTCGTAAGTTCATCCATGACTAAAGCAAAAAAGAAAGGACTCAGAGCAGATCCTTGGTGCACTCCAATAGTAATAGGGAACTCCGCGGTCCTCCCTACACTAGTGCGGACACTTGTAGTACAAGCATCATACATATCCATGATGATGTTGATATACTTACGTGATATGCCTTTTCTAGTTAAGGCCCACCAAAGAACTTCTCGAGGTACCCTATCATATGCCTTTTCTAAGTCAATGAACACCAAATGCAGATCCTTTTTAGTGTCTCTATACTTCTCCACAACTTATCTAAGAAGGTGAATGGCCTCAGTTGTTGAGCGTCCAGGCATAAAACCAAATTGATTCTCCGAAATTTTCACACTTTTACGTAGTCTTTGCTCAACCACTCGCTCCCAAAGTTTATGGTGTGACTCACAAGCTTAATCCCTCGATAGTTAGCACATTCTTGTACATCACCCTTATTTTTAAATAAAGGAATGAGAGTACTCTTCCGCCAACTCACTGGCATTTTGTTGTTTCTCCAAATTATGTTGAAGAAACGTGTTAGCCACTCGATGCCTTTCTCTCCCAAACTTCTCCAAGCCTCGATCGGTATGCCATCTGGGCCCACTGCTTTCTTCCGGCCCATTTTTCTCATAGCCTCTTTAACTTGTGTTATTTGAATCTTTCTCACGAAGTCCCTATTTACCATACACTCCGGTATAGTAAGATCATCAATACCTTGGACTTTATTCTCGTTGAACAAGGTATCAAAGTATGACCTCCAGCTCCCTTTTATTTCTTCGTCGTCCATTAGTACCCTTTGATCGACATCCTTCACACACTTAACTTTTCCGATATCTTGAGTCCTACGGTCACGAAGGCGAGCAAGTCTGTAGATATCTTTTTCTCCTTCCTTAGAATCCAACTTTACACACAATTCCTTATTCACTTTTCCTTTGGCTTCCTTCACAACTTTCTTTGCTCTTCTTCTAGCCTCTTTGTACTCCTCTATGTTCTCATCGCTTCAACTTTTGCCCAATTTCTTATAGCATTCTCTTTTGGCCCTTATTGCTTGTTTCACCTCATCATTCCACCAAGATGTGTCCTTTTTTTGTGGCAGACATCTTTTAGATTCTCCGATTATCTCCTTCGCCACTTTGTTAATGGTGGACTCCATTGATAACCACACATCATCCACGTGTGCGTCATTATCAATAGACCAAACATCTTCCTCCAACATTTTGTGTGCAAAACTTTGTTGGATATTCCCCTCGAGCCTCCACCATTTTATCTTTGGCTCCCCTTGTACCTTAACTCGTCCCCTCTTTTTACCTCGAAAATCAAGCACAAGCATCCTATGCTGAGTGACAGCACTCTCACCTGGGATAACCTTACAATCAGTGTAGCTAGTTCTCCAAGTCGTTCGTACTAAAAAGTAGTCAATTTGGGTACTATTAGCTCCACTTCTATAGGTGACAAGGTGAGAGTCTCTTTTCTTGAACCAAGTGTTCATCACAGCCAACTCATATGTCGAGGCAAAATCCAGAATGTTCTTCCCCGCTTCATTTCTAGTGCCAAAACCATGTCCACCATGGACACTCTCAAAACCGTCACGCGCCTACCACAGCACCCTCCTCCTTTATCCTGGCTTGGGACAGGCATGATACCAAAAAAATGATCTCATGGCGGAGTTTGGGGTTCATTCTTATTATCTTGGAATAAAATCGAAGTTTAGCCTTTTGGCTCTGGGCAACGGTATTTTCATCGTTGATTATCTGGGCAACGGTTTACCCCGTTGATTTTTATTTTTCTGCTATACAACAATTGGTCCGACCTGCCGGATCCCGTCCCGCCAGGATGACAAGATCTCATAACGATCGATTGATTGAGTTAGAGGCAGAGCAACACCGACTGGGAGAGCAGCAAGCCCGATTAGGGGTTGAGCAGGCACGGATGAATAGCACCCTGGAAGAGCATGGCATGCTGCTGGCTGAAATCATCGCATCACTGGCGACGCTCACGCAGGCCTTGGTGTCGCCGATATCGCAGGCAGCTTCCTCGGCTGCGGTCGGGAGTGCGACCGTAACAGCCGCCAGCGACGACGGACTGCCCAGCGCAGCCACCGCTCTCCTTCCCTCGTTCGACGGTGAAGACCCAATTTGGTGGTTGGCGAGAGTGGAGCAGCAGTTTGAGCTCAACAGGACCCCACCGGACAGACAAGTTGCAGCGGCTAGGGTTTCTATGGAAGGGGATGCCTTCTATTGGGTAACATGGCTGAGAGCGTGCAAACCATACATGACCTGGGAAGAATTCAAACAAGCCCTCGTGGCTAGATTCGATTCCCGATTCCAAGGGAACAGATTTGAAAGGCTTTCCGGCGTCAAACAGATTGGATCAGTAGAGGAATACAATACCTTGTTTGTTCAACTGGCTAGCCAAGTTCCTGGATTGACCGATGCTCATTATTTGGGCTACAACATGAGTGGACTTAAGGAAGCAATTCGAAGTTCATTGCGCTTATTTCGACCGAATAATTTGGAAAAGGCCATGGAATTAGCTCGCGATGTGGAGTACAATCTGTCCGTCCAGAGTGGAGGAAGTGGCAGCCCGAATTATAAGCCTTCAGGGGTACGTTCCAGCAGCTTTTCAATGCCAAACAAGAGTCCTCCGTTGACTGCGGGTGGTGGCAGCCTACAAGGATCAAGTGGCAGCTTCACGAAGGATAGTGGACAGCCTCCGGGGACGAAGTCAGGGCTGTCCGGGCAGCCTACGACACGCTCTCAGTTCACTCGTCTTCTGCCAAAGGAGTTCACAGAATTGAGGGCGAAAGGATTATGTTTTAGATGTAAGAAACCATTTAAACCGGGGCATGATTGTCCCTTTAAGCAGCTGTGGGTAATGATAGCTGAGAAGGATGAAGAGTTGGACCTCCGACAGCATGAGTACTGTGAAATAACCGGCCAGGAAAGGGTTCAGGAAAGAGAGGAAGGATATTTTCCAGTCTATTCTATGGCTGGGAATTTCAGCTCCCCGTCTGTGAGATTTCAACCTTGAGGACAAGGTTATTTTGAAGGAGGATGGATTGATAGAGAGCGGGAAGAGCATGGGGCAGGACCAGGCTTGGGCCCACTTCTGTGGACCGGGTTAGGGCTGTCTTTATAGTTAATTATTATTATTAAGTTAATGTTATGTTTTAGTTGGGCCTATTATTAGTAGAGTACTTAGTTAAGTTAATTTGGGCCTAATTAGGGTTTAATTAATTTGGGCTTGATTAGGGTTTCTTGTAGAAGGCTATTTATACCCCTCGCCAGGGTTCATTCTTATTATCTTGGAATAAAATTGAAGTTTAGCCTTTTGGCTTTGGGCAACGGTTTACCCCGTTGATTTTTATTTTTCTGCTATACAACAGTGCATCACTTAGTCTTCTACGCACATGACCAAACCACCGCAATCGAGACTCCTGCATCTTATCTTCTACCAGTGCTACTCCCACTATTTGAAAACATTTTTTAAAGCAAAAAGCAAAAAGTCAATTCTTTAGCAATGGAACACTCCCTAAAGAAATGAAAAAAATCATAGAGACAAGTTAGATACATAGATAAATATAGACAAAACGAAGAAAGAAGAAAAGAAGAAGAAAGGAAGGGGGGAGAAAGAAAGAAAGGCAAACTTAGTGGGGTATGGGCGTATGGCAATGCTTACCATTAGGTGATTTCTTTCTCTTTATTACATTTCGGTTTTTTCTTTGTCAAGTCTGATGCTTCTATTTAAAGGAAAGCAAGCAAGACAGATGATAAAATGAAGAGAAAGAAAGAAAAAATGAAGGGGAAACATCAATAATAAATTAAGTTAAGAAGATGATGAGTTAGCCGGGATAAGGATTGTGCGGTGGTGGTGATCTGGTGCAAATGTGGGCAATGACCAGAAGGTTGCATCCTACTACAAGTTTAAAAAAAATAAAGCATTTTTTGACAAGTTGAGATGCTTAGTTGTAAGGTAGACGGGTAAGGGGGCCAGTTGCTAAATCCTGAAAAGTTGGAGGGCTTATAAGCTTATTTGACCCTACTCCGAACAAGAATTACTCTAGAACATTTAATACTTACTTCAATCAAGTCATGTAATCTGAGACATCAGACATCCCTTACAATTTGGGATGAGGGGTGTGGTGCCTAGAACTAGGCGATTCCTCAATAAGAATCAACTAATTCAACCTAGTTAACATAATATAGTCTGTAAAAAAAACTGGCTGATAGGTAGAAATAAGATGCCACCACATAAGCACATAGTGTCTTCCACTTTTTTCAGTGATATTTGATTGTGGCAAATGCATTTGCATAGAAGCTATGCATGTACAGAATGAAATAAGATCAAAATGGCACAAGCCATATCTATAACGCATAGAGAGCTATGGTTTAACTAGCTTTTTGGAGTTCCTACTGCAGTCTCACAGGAAAGGTGGCCAATTTTTTTCCCCATCAGCTGAATGCAGGTTATGCAGCACCACATTCGGATAACTTTTGCAACCAAACAGGGTAATCAAAGTCCGTAACTTCTGGTTTGTATTTCATTGTAGCTGTAAGTGGCCAGAATCCATTGGTGTAAGGGATGAACTAAAGCTTAAATGTGTACATTTAATTTAGTGTAACCATTTATTGGAGGTTCATAATCACTAGAAATTAAATCTAAACAATTGAAGATAACCATGATGGATGCTTCTTTAGCGTAGAGCAAGAGAGAGGATGCAATTCAATAGGGGTATGAAAATTTTAAGGTAATTGATTAAGATGTGAGTGTCTCTTACCCTCCAAACCAGAAGATTGGATCAATAAAAGGGTATTTATCCTGCATAGATGTAATCCCTTTATTGTTGGGTTCAGTTGAAGATGGTCCATAATAACTGATAGGTTGACATGCCTGCATCTTCATCTCTGCAATTCATATCCCCATGAGAACTCATTTCATAATTTCTAGAATCTAAAAACTTAACATTGAGCATAAAGTTCACTCCCATCAGAAGCTTGAAGCTCAAAGCCTTATTGAAACTTTCAAAAAAGTAAGTAAAACCTCAAAGCTTAATGCTGATAAAAAGCCAATAGATAACACAAGGAAGTAGTTTACAGAGAGAGGAAGAAACCCCTTTAAGTTTAAATAATGAGGAATCAACTACAAGATTATTTTACTCTTAGAATACACATAGATCAGCTTCATCATTATCACGAATCGTACAAATGGAATTACTTGTTTGATTTTAGAACTACATAATACATACCATTGGAACCGGATCCACCATTGAGAATATCATCAGTTGGAATATTGCCTATCTCCTTTCTGATAAGAGTCGGAGACGCTGCTTCAAAAGTAGCTTCTGCTAATGTAGTGGTCACAGCTATGCATCTGCAATTATATTAGAAAATCATAGCATCAGGACACTGCAATTATGAAGACAATGTAATAGATAATGGACACCTTAACATTATTAAACAATGTGATTTTTTTTGCTCAAGTGATGGATGTGAATATTTCCATCATTTGCAATGGAGCCAAAGATTCATTTTTTTGGCTTGAGATTATGATGGAATAAAGCAAAATGGCTCACTAAACTGTCTGCGCTTCTTTCTTATGGAGCAGCAGTCAGTCCATGCAATTTTGGACACGATTTTCACTATGGGTCATCCGGAAACAGTCTTTTTGTGCTTTAGTACAGGGGTAAGACTGCGTACATCTAACCCCCCTTACCCCACCGTAGGTGGGAGCCTTTGCGGCACTGGGGTAAATGAAAATGAAAGTGATGGATGTGAATAAATGGTATCCATTATGGCGTTCTCATTCTAGTGCTACACACACAAAATTTGAAGTTCCCTTGGAACATAAGACGCCGCTATTATTACCCCATTTTTGCTGCTCTGGCAGCTTGTATGCCAGCTAATGCATCTTCAATGACCACACACTGCATCAAAAGCAAGTAATAGATTATTTTCAAGCATAAAATTTAAGCAACCAATACTCAAGTTTTTTATTATGTAGTAGAGCAAGTTAAAAATCATATGATGTATGAAATTTATGTATTCTTCAAGCGATCTAATGGTGGCACTGCATGCATGCTAACTTGCCTCACTAGGGGGCACATTCAGAATCTTTGATGCGGCCAAAAAAATATCAGGAGCAGACTTCAAATTTTCAAATGCATCCGCAGAGACAATTGCATCAAACCTGAAGGGGGGAGGATGGTGAGCACCACAATGATAACAATATAAAACAGAATGCAACGATACAACTCTTGCAATTTGAACTTTGTTTCTTAGCATGCAATCAAGGAACCGAATTCTTTATTCCGCTAATATATAAAACTTAACAAAGTCAAAATAAAGAACTAACTCCCAATTCTCACAGTTCGAGTCATAGCTCAGGAAAAGTGGACAAATATAATCTTTCAATAGTGACTCAATTTTCGATCATCGAAGGATAGAAAAGACGTAGACACAAATTGCAGGAAACAGTATTCTGATTCTGATTAATATAGGGATATTAGGAGGCTAGCAGGTGGCATTTGTAAGCCACCACCTGCTAGATAGCGGAAACACTATAAGAGAAACTACGCAAACTAGAATGGAAGTTGAACTCCATAAACTTCAGCAGTTTCATTCTTTTAATTGCGCTTTACAAATGTATACCCTTTATCGATCTTACTTTTCCTCGTTCCAATCTAAAACATTGTCTCTGACTATCTACAGTTGAACACCCAAATCTTTGATTCATATATATCACTCAAAAGTTAAAAGAAGTAAAGCATCAATTAGTAAACCCACAATAGAATGAGGCACTCTACTATCCACACCAGAACAGACAAAAACATATGAATCTAAAAATCCCGCAACGGATTTCAAACTATGTACATAACCAATTACCATTAAGGCATTAACAGATCAGATGGCACTTATATCTAGATTTGCAGGGGTAAAGCTAGTGAAAATTATCAACAACAACAGCATCCAAGCCTTAATCCCAAAAGAGTTTGTATAAGAAAAACATTTGTCTTTCTTGGTTAAGTGCATTATTATCACTCCATCTCAATAAAGGAGTCCTGTATGAGTAAGCTACAGCTTGAATTTTGTACATAAGAAATAGCAAACCACAAACACCCATCCTTTCACTGAATATGATCATTCTTAATTTATACATACACAGAGGAACACTGTCAAAATCTACATTATTGTAAGTTAAAGCGTCTGAATTGAAAATTTTGGAATTCAAGAAATGATAGAAATAAAAGCAGAATTGGTTCCAAGAGGAACCAGTTATGATTAAATGTGGGGCAGTACGTGCAGTAGATAGCAAAATAAAAAAAGAAGATACTGTAATACAATGAACTGGGTGAGAATGTGAGATACAAACATTCGTTTTAAGAGAAAATATCGGGAAACAATGATTTGTAGGATTTGCCCACCCAAGGCTAAAGGACAGCCAATCATCAAATATCTAAATCAAATGACAACAAAAGCTCACATCGTCAATGACAAACCAGCAGCTGTTAAGTTTGCATCAACCTTGACACGATCAGCACTTGAGGCAACAGCGACTTTGAGACCTTTGCTTTTACACTGTCAAACAGATTAAACAAATTTCAAAAGAGAACTTAAATTAGTTAAATATAATAACTAATAAGCACATGAAAGAATATAAAATCAAGTATGGAGTTACATTACATGCCTGTGCAACAAGCTCAAAGGCACCGGGAAAATCTATACCAGAATTTGATTTTGCATACTGCAGAAGAGAATAAAGCTTGGTACTAAGTAATTAGCTACTCAAACAGTTTCTTTTATCATACAAGAAGGTTTTAAAATGCTAAAATCGAATTAAAGGTGTTTGCTTCACCCTGAAAGAGAGAGGCGGAAGCCTGTAGTTCATTTTATATAGCTTCACATTGAGATGAGCCTAAAGGTTTAAGCTCCAGTAGCTTTTTTTAAACTATGTCAAATGCTAAAAGTAATTGCAAATATTTACAAAAAAGAACTTTCATTACCTTATCTGAATATTTCTTAAAAAACCTCTTTGATGCATCGGGATTGAATCCCTTAACAGCCTTCACATTAGCAACACCACCTAAGAAGTTCACTTCCCCTGAATCTTTCATAATGATAATTGGAAAGGGAAATCAAGCAGGTAAGAACATAAATGAAATGCCAGAGAATAAAATAAGGAGTAAATTCATATAAATTTAGAATAGGTCAATGAAAGACACTGTGACAGGAATCAAGTTATAGGCAACTACTCAGCAATGCACGAAATACCACCAAGCTCTATTGCTTCAATTCATACACAAGTCCTATCAACTTTGCACAAATGGAGCAAGAGCGGAACAAGTCACATGACACATTTAAACCTTTCTTTTGAATAATTAAATCAATGAACAATATAAAATTTCTAGCCCTTATCTCTGAACTTGTTTGGTTGTTCCTTATGATGTATGTGGGAGCCTCAACAATAGTTGCATACTCAGAAAGTGTTTTACAAAAAATATATAAAGCATTAGTATGAATACTCAACAAAGAACTCTTACTTCGCTCACTTAAGTTAGACATTTGTAGAGTACAAACAAGTGCATATTTTCTAATCTGTAAAACATTTGTAATCAGCTCAATAAGGGATTAAGGGTATAAAATCCAGTAAAAATCACACCCAATTTAACTATACATTAACCTCTTCTGTCTTTCTGTGCTAAGTGCATTATTATCACTCCATCTCAATAAAGGAGTCCTGTATGAGTAAGCTACAGCTTGGATTTTGTTATAAACCCAATAAAGGTATAGATTTTAGTAGAACACATTGATTCTTTAAATTATACTTATTCACTTCTTAAAATTATCAGGTAATTTCTTGAAATTTGAAACTGGAACCCATCAGAAACCCCATTTGTTAGAGCAGATTACGCTTGAACTTAAAACACTTATATAACATTAAGGTTGGCTTTTAAAATAAGACTCTTTTTATAATCTCTTTGAGAGAAGACTCTTTCTCGGCACAATGGCACGGCAGGAAACGTGTAGTAAACATCCAGGGGACAGGGGCCAATTGTCTACCTTAAATGCACCCTGTGCTTAGGCTCGGCAGTCGGCACCCTGACCTCACCCCAGAACGTGAGAGTGTTGATTTGTAATGGTTGTGGACTCTAGGAGCATTAGTTTCTGAGCCTTATTATATGTACTAAAGAATGATAAGAGGACGTATATATATAAGTAATATAACTAAGTTAAACTCCTGGGTGTGCCACTGGATATAAATAAGTTAAATTCATGGCTTACCCATGCCCGTAAAGGGCGCAAAATCTTCAACAGTAGCCTGAACCCCCATTTCCGCAAAAACGTCCACAGCTGCCCTTCTAGACAACTCCTCGCTATTGCAAAGTGCTCCGTCCATATCAAACAGCACGGCAGAGACCTTTCCCCATTGGTTCACCGCATCTGAAACATTGTCATCCTCCGATTTCACGCACGCTAAAGACGACCTTCTCCGCCCTGAATCCTTGGCGTGTTTTGGAAAAATTTGTACAAAAGACGACGACTTTGAGCAAGAGAACTGCACCAGCTTTGATTGAGAAGCAGTAGGCCTCTTGGCCGTGTGAAATGGCAGATAAACTAGTTTCAATGCCATTGTGATTTGTGAGGCATGCAGCTCCACTTGTTCGTAGGCCTCTTGGCCGAAAGGACTTCAACTGGATAATGGATATACGGAATTTTAAGGACAGTCAATTAGTCAAACATCATGTCAATAACAATATGTAACTTTTAATCGCTAACAATTAAAGTATGTGGAGTTTAATACGGAGTACTAAGTATCTAGACTTCATTTATAAAATTAAAGAATTTGACAACAATAATCTCATTTATCATCTATCTTTTCAAAAAATAATCACATCCTTACATAATTTTAGAATAATCATCATTTGCATCCCTTTTCTTTCGTATCTCACTAACCGATTGATAATCCGATATACTTAATTTTTTGTTTTTTTAAATAAATTAGTTTTCATCGATCTTCTCAGTACTATATTATTTTTCTCTTTTCTCGCTATAAATTTTCTCTTTTTGATGTTATCATCTCGACACTTTTTCTCTTCTTTATATTTTTATTATTTTATTTATTTTATTATTCTACGTATTTTCTTTTTGTCTTATCAAAATGGTTTTTTTGTAAAATTTATGCTCAACAGGTTCTGCTTTCTCATTTTTACTCTATTTCACTTTTATGTATTAATATTCGATTAATTCTATTTTAAAGATCTTTATGTTACACTACTTTCTTATAATTTTAATTGTTTTTTATTACAATTTTTGCTTTTCTTTTCATTCTCTTTTTTTCATTTTCGCTATCTTAGAAGTTCTTTTGTTTTTGTTTGCCCCTTTTCAACTCATTCTTTTTCTTTTCTTTTTCAACATTGCAGTGAGTTTTGAAAGAAATTAAAAAATGACACGGTCAAGGATCCCAAAAGAAATTTTGTTGGTTAGCCATGTTGAAAGTATTTAGACTAGATGACATATATAGTCAAAATCTCATAGTAACTAAAAAAAATCATTGAGGAACTATCCTAAGGTGAATTAGGATATATTACCACAATAGGCAATGCCTCTATCATCAAAGCGACGATAAGCCTTGAGCATTTTATAGGTTCATATTTGGACAGAAAGTAGTCAAGGAACACTGCTCCATCAACCTTATGACAATGATCATAATCACATTAGGACAAGACCGCATCAAGATAACTCTTTTTGTAGTATTTACTATGCAATACAGCATAAATAAATTTCTCTTAGAAATATTGTTTTAGCTTTTATGAAAGCGGTTAAGCAGTGGTGATTACCTACCACAAGGCATCAATTTCAAGAGGTGATCTTGTAATTCTAAGCATTTGCATCGCAGGTTATTTGCAATTCCTCCCTACTCCTTTTAATTGAGCTCAGGTTATGGTTTTAAAATAAAAATCATAGTTAAACAGTATCCTGAATTAAAGAAGTAGTTGTACTAATATACGAAAGAGGATAAACCTAAGCGTAGAGGCATATAGAGAGGAATTAATCATCCATCGATGAAAAGATAAGCAAGAGGACGATCGAGGATGAGCTTGAAGAAGAGCAAGTTGAGTCGTCAATCAAACTTGATCAACACTATAATATATAAATACACCCATGAAATTGCACTCTTGAGACACCATTGCTCAGGTGGTCTCCCAGACTGCCTTTCAAGTAATAGGTTGGGAAGCCATAATTTGTACTCCCTCCGTCCCTTAAAACTTTGTCAACTTTCCTTTTTTGATGTCCCACTAACTTTGCCACTTTTTCTTTTAAGTAAAGAATTTGTGATTCCGGTTAATTCTCTCTCCTCCACACAAATCTCAACCACACAGTTTTTACTTTATTAATCCTCGTGTCAGTCAAACTTGACAAAGTTTTAAGGGATAGAGGGAGTATATATTTGTTTGTGTTTAACAATGTTGCATGTATACACAGACATTGAAAAAAGCAGTGTCTAGGCACAAACATTTAATTGCCTGCGCACAAACAATTTGTGAATTATTTGTTTGTTCGTAATAATTTTTTCCCGTTCACACAAACACTGAAAAAACAATGTACGTATACTCAGACAAAAAAACCAGTGAATATTCACTCTAGTTTTCTGGTGATTTTCCGATGAGTCTCAAACATATTTTTTTCCAATCCTAGAAGCTATAATAATGATAGAGATGATGAAGATGTGGATGATATGGAGATATAGATAGAAGTGGAAGATGGTGGAGATAGTGAAAATGAAAAATTATAAGATGGTGTTAGCGATGAAAAGATGTACAAGATGATGAAGTCAGAAGATGATGAAGATGAAGATGGAATAAAAGAAAAAGAAGAAGAGTGAGTTGGTTGTGCCTTGGGAGAGAACCATATGGAAGAAAAAAATAAAGAAAGAAGAGAGATGTAAAAAACAAAGAGAGAAGAGAGGGAGAGGGGAAAATGGGTAACATGTAAAAAGGGATGAAAAAAAGAGAATATCTAAAGGGTGAAGTGTGTACAAAAGACATTTTTGAACATTCTTTCATCACAATTGATTATTGATATGATTTGAACTTGAGACTTACATGTTGGGGCTATAACTTAGCCAAGGATAATAAATTCAAATACCCTTATTTATGAGATAAGTGGTGTTCGAAAATTTTATTATTATCTAAAAGCAAAATGTTTTTTGGGGTTCCATTCCTGCTCAAAACTATCAACATCAACAAGTGGTGAACTTCCTTTATTAAATTAAAATAGATAATGTTAAATATATTCCGTATTTCACAATTCATATTGACTACATTCATCTGGATCCATTATTGAGGTGGGGTTCTCCTTCCCGTTTCTGTCTTCCATCAGAGAGAAGTTTGGGAAATTCGCAGGGAAGTGGGTGACACAGTGTATCAACAGTAGTGTCAATTGAATTATGCATGAGTTCTCCTAAACTGTACTCCGCCCTGACCGTCCATGCTTGCATGTTGAGGTCCATGCCCCTTGGTTGGTCACATCTGTTGGGGTGTTCCATGCTCAACCTACACGCCAAATTCAATGTATTACTCAACAAAGGTTGAGGGTTAGATATTGGCTATAAATACACAGTTCCATTTGACGTCATTCAGCTGTGAAAATGGTGAGGATGGGGTCTCTTGTATGAGTGTCAAACAACACAAAGAATGCATGGGAATGAAAACTAGAGCTGAACAGGTGAGGATACGCTCTCTTATACGCCTCATGACATATGTTGAATAACAATATATTCTTTTACATAATGAAGAGTTTTTAATTTCAAACTCATATTCAATTATGAAGTTCAAAGAGCCTATCCTGACAAACCACACCCCATTTCTTCTGAGAAACAACCCCTTATACCACTCTTACTGGCTTACTCGGATGCCTCAGACAGCTTCAACCCATCAGACGACTCATACTTTTTGGATGACTTTCTGGGACACGCAACGGAATGCGACCGTCGACCACCTATTTCAGAACAAGACGAAATAAGGGACTCTAAATTCAACAGAGCGATTTGCCGGAAATCTCAGTTCATCACTTCAGAGAACTACCTTCCAACTGACAATTTGAACACCCAACTCAAAATTTACAAGAAAACCCAGAAAAACAAAAGGCGTCACAGTATGAGGACTAGATCTCAGACCAAACAATTTCCATGGGCCTAGTAATTTGCTTTGTTTTATTCCATGTTCGTTCTCTTGTATTTTTCTTTTTCTGTATTGTTTCTTTATCTTTTCTTTGTACCCTTCATTATTTTCAATAAAATCCTTCCTTTCTGAAAAAAAAATGAAGAGTTTTTAATTTTTTGTATTTGGTGTGTTGATTTACTCTAACATTTACTCACTTATTCATGGATGATAATTTTTTCCCTGTGTTATAACCACTTTTTTTGTTGGGTATAGAGAACTAAGATTCCTCCACATGCATATCGCCAAAAAAACTTGAGAGCATTTGTTTGTTGAAGGTCATGTACGTGTTCTCAAGAACTTCCTGGTGAAAGAAAACAATATGCACATGAAGACTACAACATTCAGTTGTTCATCAACAAATTTGAATATTTTGAATTATTAAACATTGAATTTATGATTTCAATAATATCATCTACTAAGTTACTAACACAAGAGATGATGAGACAACATCACAACGAGGATATATAGGTACCCAAAAATCTATTTGTTATATTTCAGGTATTGGTTATAATAAAAAAGACATGTTATTGGTAAATGCAGAATCTCTAAATTAACGCCATGGGTGTAGTTTCCAAGATGAAGAGGTTCTTTGTAACCAATTTACCTTTGTTGTGTTCATGTTTTATGGATGAAGAAAATATATATATGAATGACTGAATGACTGAACTACAAGATGCAGCTCCCAACCATGAGTTCTCTAAAGGTATGAAAATTGCAGGTCATCCAAACGCAATGTTTTTTGCTAAGCTATATTTTCTCAGGGGATTTTATTTCAGCAGCTCACGGATACATTCCATTAATTTATTTGAGTTGGCCAAATACTAAAACAATCACAATGAAAACCCAACTTAAAAAAGCACAAGCAAAAGGAAGAAAAAGACAATTCTCTAAATGAGATGTGCAATTCAAAATGAAAGAACTAAAGCTAATTCCCTAAATGAAATATGCAGATCAATGAAAAGTTCCAACAAAGGAAAGTCCCACAATTAAAGCTCCCAGTGAAAAACGGAAAGATAATAAAATATTAATTCTTGAAAAGAATGACTAGAACCAATTAGTACACACACATAGACACGTATATTCGCAAGTTACACACACGCACACACACATATTTACATAGCACACACGCACAAAAGCATGCATATATACATAGCACACACTTGCAAAAATATACACAAACGAAAATATATATCAATATGGCTGCTCTAAATAGCTTTAGCAAAAGCATGCATATATACATAGCACACACTTGCAAAAATATACACAAACGAAAATATATATCAATATGGCTGCTCTAAATAGCTTTAGCAATGAAGTTTTAAGTTATTATTAGTGTTTACAATGTTCATCGTCAATTTAATGTATATTTCTTGATGGGAATGTAAAAAAGAATTAATTTGTATTACGTATAGTTGAAAGCTTTCAACACTTTTTATATTCCATTCATTATTTCAAATCTTTTTATATTC